CACTTTGCTTTACACACAACCTGCTTCAAGTTCAAGGCATGTAAAACCCAAAGCAAAAGTTTAAAAGGTACTTATTATTATTATTATTATTATTATTATTATTATTATTATTATTATTATTATTATATATTGTGTTCAACACTCTCTATACTCTTAGTCTTAATATTGAAAATTAATCGAGACGATTACCAAACTATTTAATTTGATATCATATTAATTCTTTGTCTAAATTCAAATTTATGTATATTTTTAATGTTTATTAAAAAAAACTGAAAGAAATATACACTGTCGTATCATGGAACCAAAAAGTTAACTAGCTGTATCAATGGTATTATCAACTTTCAAAAGTTCCATAATTTGAACAGTTTTAGAAGCCGCAACTTTTTGGATTAAATCATCATCATATGAATTAATTAATATTGTACCTTGGGAAACATCTTGTTGTTGGGTATGGGTATCAGGCTATGGGTTACCAAATCACTAATTGAATCACCCATTTGATCAATTCGAGACCAAAATCTTCAAAGTAGGCAAAGAAGTGGTTGATTATTATTATTTTATTTTCGTTGAGGGTCGATTTTAGGGACAGGCGTTACTGTGTTTATGAAAATGTTAAGGAAATTACTCCAAAGGAGAATGGGAAATTGTGGAACATTCCATGCAGAAGAGAGCTTAAAATTGAAAAACTGACAGCAAAAGTACCAAATTCAAAGCCCCAATTAATGGTTTGGCTGTCAAATGATGCTGTTTAAGCGTACCATCATCATATAATATCAACACACCTCCCTTACTGCACGTCCCATCTGCCATCTGCCTTCTCCATTTTACAAACTTTGTTTTGACCAAGCTACATTGAAATAACTGTGTGAAAAAAGTAAACAAATTGGAAAACCAGAAGAAGAAAATCTCTCTCTCTCTCTCTTTTTTTTTTTTTTTTTTTTTGGTTTTAAATAGTTGTTTGCTAAGTATAATTCTCTCAAAGTGCTGCACTTTCTAGCTTCTAAGTAAGTTTTTTAAAGTATAATATGATTGTTTAACTAGTGCCTCTTTTTTTAATCTTAGGCCTCAGTGAAAATCCAAGCAATGAAGCACTACATGCATAAATATAGACATGCATCCGAAGAAATTAAAAGGAAAAGCATGATAATTTATTGAGTTGAATCTTGAAACTATATGGGGGCGAGAGAGAGTATGAGATAGTAGCTCTCAAAAAGCTGAATCTCTGTTGTCCACCCAAGCAGTCCTCCTGCAGAAATAATCTGAAATGGCATAATTTTACCTAAAGAGAATTCTTTTGAAGGATCGATTGGTAATATAATAGAACTATTTCAAACCACACAAAATTAAAGCTTATGTATCTGCATCATCACTAGCTGCAGAAACAATAATATTCCACGCGTTGAATTGTGCAAAGGAAAAAAAAAGGCATTTTGGTACGTGCAAATCAATGATATACATACGCATAAACATTAATTCATGTGAAAATTTTGAGTCTAATTTCATTGAACGAAAGGAAGAAGCATTATAGAGGAGTGTAAAAAGGGAATCAGCACCTATTTTTTGCTTTCTTGGAGTTCGCAAACCTGCAACCTCCAAAATTATAATTATTATTTTTTATTTATCCCCAGCTTTTAGAAAAATGAGGAAAAGTTATATTTTTATTAATTGAACTGTTTTCACGTCGGTAAAATATTATAAAGTTTCATTCTTTTGATGATTTAAATTAGCCACTAAATTATGGTACGCCACACCTTAAAATTTAAAGATATATAGGACTTAGCGAGGGGAAACATTTTCTTGGTGCTAGGTGGTGCAAGTCAAGATCCAAATCAATTAATTAGAATTTATTTACTTTCCTAAAATTAAATTATTTAATCGTTGAGTTATATTCTGGCTAGAAGCTAATTTTTTATATACTTTAACGAATTGGATTACGTCCAAATTAGTTATATTATTCGTATGGCAAGTAGCTTTAATTGAGAGGCGGAAATTGAAAAATTCTCGTAGATTTATTTTGTTCGCTGAACTCTACTCAGTTTTCGCATATAGATGAGGCTGGATGTTGAATAGATTGGCCATTTTCAAATGTAAATTGACTGGAATGGCCTTGAGCTGCTTTGCTGATAACTTCCGCCAGTCAAGGCGGCTTCAAATGGGCCAAATACCCACAGAGTCTCCACACTGGACAAAAATTTCTGCCACCTATTAAAATAATTTGTAAATATTTGTATCCTATTTCTACTTGCATTTCGGCTTTTATAATCATTTCATCATTCTTCTTCCTCCTTTTATGATATATATTCGCATTCTGTAAAATATAATAATTAAATTGTTGACAATAAAAAAGGGAATAATACAATCATAAAAACTTTTTATTTTAATTCACTGTCTCTAATGTGTTGACACGAACAAAAGACAGGTTTAAAAGTCAGAAATATGGTATTATTGGATTGAGTTTGAAATAAGTTTTAGGAGAACTAAAAGTGCTTAATTTTTCAAAATTTTCATACTGTTTGGCTATACAATACAATGAAAGTTTATTTTGAAGGTTATCAATGATGAATTTGAAATAATTGAAAGAAAAAAAAAGATGTTTTAAAGTAAAAACAATTAGAAGTATTTTTAAAAGTTGAATTCACCATCATAATTTGAAACTCTATCCTACACTATTTTCTTTCTTATAAGAAAAGTAACACAAACACTCCCTTTCTAATTTTCTTTCGACAAAACTTCCTTTATAATTCATGCAATATTCAATTTTTCTTTCCATTGACATTACAAGAAATTTGCTATTATTAAACTATATTATTAAGTAATTTAAATAATACAAGTAAATAATGAATTGTAACAGTAGCCAACTTTTTTCCTAATTTTTCCTTCAATTCGGTGACCAACCTTCCGCAACTTGATTGATTGATTGTTGCTAATTGAGCCTATAATTCCGAACATTCCTGCAATAAAATATTTCTAACATAATTTAATTAGCGTTTCAAGAGAATATATAAAACCTTTTAAGAGTAAAACCTCCATTTTATCCCATAAAATTAGACTGAAAAAAATTTAATTTTTGTTTTGGGTCTATTATTTATAGTAGCATCAGTCCACGTATGTATTGAGATTTAAAGGTCCAATATTTTAATTGAAGGTATATCTGTTAACCAAATTATATATGGACTGAGAGTAATATTTTCGAAGTTTAACTATGTAAAAGGAAATTAATATATGATTGTTTATTATAGCCTTATTTCTCGTGATATATCCAAATAATAAAAATCACTTCATTACTTTCCATACTATTCAATTATACTGAACAAATTATCAAAATAAACTATTAATGAAGGCCATGATAAAAAACTAATACACACTACACAGCACATAAACACCTCTATTTCTAAAACTGAAAAGACAAAAAAACATGGGAAATTTTCACGAAAATGTCCCTTGAAAATTATTTTAGAGGTAAAAGCCACGCACACCAAAAAAAAAGAGACGCTAATCTAAAAATAAACCGATTACTAAAACATCCACATCCGACCCGACTGAAGCAAACCCAAGTCGAAATGGTAAGTGCGTTAAATGCTTTAATATATTTTCCAAATCTCGCACCGTTTTGTTCTTGATTCTGCAGAAATTTCCGCGAATGATTTAAATCACACTCATATTTTCTCGCCAAACAAACGGAATTTTAATGTTGCAACTTTTCCTGGAAAAAATGACGAGGCAGAACGGCGACAGGTCAGCATGACGAGGACCAACCAAAGATGAATTCCTTGGCGTGCCCCACCACCACTTAAAAACGTAAGCCAACGCTCCCTATATTCCCTTGGTCCACTCCCATAAGAAACTCCCCATTAACATTAACATAACCAATCCAATTGCTCTCTCCGGCGAGGTCTCCGGACCCCCGTACGAGGGGCGGCGCTCCGATTTCCTTCCCCCAAATATGGCGGAACCCGCCGAACAACCCCCGCCGCCTCCGCCGCGGCCTTTCCCGCTCTACAAGCTGCTGTCGTGGTCGCCGGACGCCGACCGTGAGGAAACGTGGCTTCGGCGGAAAACCCAAAGCAAGATGCGGCGGAGCAAGAGCGTGACCGACGACGACGTCGATGAGCTCAAAGCCTGCATCGAGTTGGGCTTCGGATTCGACTCGCCGGAGGCGGACCCACGACTTTATGATACCTTCCCGGCTCTGAGCTTGTACCACGCCGTAAACAAGCGTTACAGCGACAGTCTCTCGAACTCCGTGGCGTCTCTCTGCTCTTCCCCTGCTTCCGACTCTGTTTCTCCGTCCTTCCAGAGCAGCCCCGCCGCCATAATCAGCCACGGTACGCTACCTTCTTTACGACCTCTTATGAAATTCCGAAAATTGAAGAAAGAATCTTACGGTTCTGACTCTGTAGTTCCGAACTGGGTTTCAGGGGAGAATCCGCAGACGGTGAAAGCGAGGCTGAAACAATGGGCGCAGGTGGTTGCTTGTTCAGTACGGCAGTATTGATATTTTTATTAATTTTTCCTCTCAGATTCAGACTTTAGACTTTCTTTTTTGACTCGACTACAAATTCTAATCAAGACCATACACATTTAATCTTCAAATTAGCCAGATTTCTTTCTCCAATTTCTCTGTTTCCGAGCCGTGTGGTCAAATCGTCTCCACAGCTTTAATTATCATATAGGGCGAACATATGGAATTGGAAGAATGTGGAAGGTAGTTGGCTCTAAACAGCATCTTTCCTCCACATGCATCCTTTTCACATTCACATCATCTCTGGGACTTGTGTGGGAAAACGATTATGAGCCTGAATTTGAGGATGAAAAGTTTCAAGGTACACAATGAGAGCAAATATAGTTAATTCAAATGGATTATTACGGATAGTAAGTTTTTCACAGTAGATTTACACATGCATATGAAAGCAAAATAGAGGATAAGATAAAGTATAAGTATCGAATTAGTGATTCAAAGTCACAATGGAGGCATATGTCAAATACTAAGCTGTGTTTTCTTGCAAACATCTCGTAAGTGAGGTGGTAGAATATAGGAAGTCCAAATGCGTGAATAACTGAATAGAGAATTAGGAGCAAGAAAACATAAGGTGGTAAGAAGAGCATGTTTGAAGAGAAAAGGAAGGCATATTTGGTAACTTCTCATCCCAATATTACACTCTTCAAACGCTTTTAAATTTTGTCCTTGCCTTGCCTCTCTAAATTTTCTCTCAAACTCTTTCTAAACATTTGTTTTCTAAAATCTGTTCTCCGAAACGGTTGTGCCATTGGGAAGTGAAGCAAATTTAGAGATCGGAGTTTTAGTTGAAAGTCCCACCCGACTAAAATTGTTTCCACCAAAAATTTTAGACTTACAAATGAGACTTTTAAAATAATAAGTGTATAATCAAAACATATCTATGTTTTTAAAACTCGTTGTCTTTGTCACTTTTTTTTTGGGTTGAAATGTTGTTGGAATATTTATTTGAAATTTTTTTAAAGGTTTAGCCTAGAAATGAAACATTTGAAATAATAGAGGTTTAATTAAAATATTTCTTAAAGTTCAAAGGTATTTTAGATAATTTAATCTAAAATATAATATATTAGTTTTGATTGTTTTATTTAAAAAAAAATTCGTGTAAAATTTTGATATCTTAATTTTAAAAATTAAGAGAATAAGTTTTTTCAAAAAAAAAAATTAAGAGAATAAGAAACCACTGACATAAATCAAATGGTTAAGACACCTATCTCTGACCGAAAGTCATGAGTTCGAACCCCCACCCTCACAATGTTGTACTAAAAAAACATATTTACATTTTTCCCTATGTCAAAAAAAAAAAAAAACCTACACACTTTTTTTCCTATAAAATAATCACTTCGTTACCTTTGTTTTCTCTCTCTCTCTCTCTCTCTCTCTGCTATTTCGGTAACTATTTTTTTATACCTATTGACATAATAGATTATCCCAATTAACTAAATCGGTTAATATTTCTGATTATATGTTACCATATATTGTCGATATTTTAAATAACCAATTCACTATATTTCTAATCAATTGATGTGGTATCTCAAAAAAAAAAAAAACAAAAAACAAAATTATATTTCTAGTTAATATTATAAAATTATAAAATTGGAAAAAGAAACCTACTATAAAACTAATACTTAAGAAGGCTAGTCACTAGTAAATGGTTGCCAAACTATTAATGGGCCTTGATGCAGAGTCCGATTAGGTTGAATTCTGGGCCATAGCCATCTTTTACATTAACGGTCACATTTTTATTTTTTGAAAACTTTTTTTTTATTGTTTATCGTTATTTTTTCTTGAAATTAAGTCACATTATCAAAGTGTCCACCGTTTAATTGCTTCTCAAATTTAGTAAATTAATTTAGCATTAACAAATTATGGCAATCAAGGTGAAAAAGCCTAAAAAATGAAAATATATTTCAACAAAATTATGGCAATCAGTGCAAATAGGAAACAGATTAAGGAAATTGAAAATTAAAAAAATATATATGAAAATGGCTCGTTAAACTCTAAAATATTCTTACCGTTAATCATTTTACCTGACTTATTCTCTTCCAAGTGGAATTTAAACCGAAAAGAAAATTTGAATCAATTCCACCTAAGTCAACCATGGAATGACTTTGTTCTCTGAGATGGTTCGAATCCTATACGGAGTGTTATGAAATATTGGATTCCTATACGGATCACTGGTAAGCCAAACGACATCGATTTCCAAGAAAAAAATAATCAGTGAATGACTTCTAGAAAGGAAGAAAATCCCGCTGAAAACCTTCCATCATAATTATTAATTATTAAACTAGATGCAGTCAAAATTATTTTTTAAATACATACTTTTCTATTTCTTCTGTATAAAATAAAGTATGTATTCGAACGAGTAAACATGTTGGAAACTGTCCAAAGTCAACTTTACTCCTAATGGTTTTGTAAGAAACTTTATTAGTGCATTTTTAGTGAATCAACGTCAACCAGTGAAGGCTGTGACCATTGGACTAATTAAAAAGAGTGACATAAATCATAATAACTTCATGTGCTTATAATTGTAAATTGAGAGCCAAATTAAAGTATTAACTGTTCCTTCCAACAGGATTTACATTTGCATATAAAAGGGTAGGAATGTCATTCTTCATCTGAACGTATAGGTTCTATTTATTATTATTCCCTTTTCTTCTTTATTGATTGATTCTTATTCTGAATGTTAAAAAACAAAATCAATAGTAATACATTTCATTTAAACATAAAATAAAATGGTATATTACCAGCCTTATTTTGAATCTTTTGTATTCATATTCATATTTATATTTTATTCATTCTTACAAAAAAAAAAGTAGTGAAAAAATGGTTTATCTAATAATGGTTTTGAATTCTTCACTCATATGGGCTCGAAGATCAATTCAAAGCCAAAATTTCAGTACAAGTTGAAGCAATAATAATTAAAAGAATTCTATGTTGCAAATTTCAACAATTTGATCACAGAATGGGAAAGGAAAATTAAGAAAAGGATGTTGATTAAAAGTCAACACTGCGAATATAAATTAATGCACAAATGTTTCACATTTGGATCAGAAAGTTTCTGAGTCATTTGTTGATTTTTTTTGTTTTTGTTTTCTTTTACAATGAAAATTTTTGCAACCATCGATGAAGATGAATAAGAGAATTAGAATCTGCAAAAATATCTAACAATCAAACTCAAATGTGAACCTCTAAAGACTATATATGTTGATGGAATTAAATGGCCTTGTAGTTGTGCTGTGACGCAGAAAAAACCAACCACACCTGTCTTTTCTTTTCTGCGAATATGGTTTTTCATAGCACTACGCGATGTTTCAAAAAGTCAATTTCCCACGAACAATTTTGTGGATCCATTTTTTATATTTTTTTTTTCAGGCTAAAAAACGTAAAGTTTTCTAGTGGTGAATATATGTTATTATTGTTTTTTTTTTTTATAACAATTTTGAAAATGTTTTCAAATTTGTAGTCAAAATTTAAAGTAAAAACAGTAGTTTTTTTTTATTATTATAATTAGCTAGATTTTTAAAAGCATTTTTAAATATCGAGAAAATAAATAAAGATGTTATTAGTGAGTAATTTTATCAGAATAAGGTGACTTTATGTTGATAAAATTATTAGATGAATAAAAAAAACGATAGAGTCCATAAATCAAAACCATATTTAATTTTGTGATTCTTTTATTGCGGTTTTCTTCCTTTTCTTTGTTATTAAGTTTGAATACTTTAGGTAGCTCATTGTTTAAGTTAAAAAGTTAAGGTTAATTGTCGTGTCAAGAGGACGGAAGTACAAATTGATCACCTAAAGCAATTGCCGACACAGTTTATTGGAACAAATTATTCGAAGTTTCTAATTAACATATTCAAATATTTTCTATCTCACCCTTCTTTTCAAACGGTTAAGGAAAATAGAATCTGAGCATCACTAAAAAGTTTCATGTTATAAAGATAATTGTCCTCTTTTATATACCATATATCATTATTCAATATGAGACTTTATTTATATTCCTTACAAATTCTACCCAAATTCTCACAAAGGGTTTCACTCATCTATATTCTTAAATCAAATTATTTTTGCCGAGCAGGAAATCAATTTTTTTTTCTTTTTTTAGGTTCATGGCGAGGATGAGGATCAAATTATCAATATTTGAGATGCTAATTAAGTATCTTTTATCCCCTTAATTATGTTTGAATTGGAACATTTTTCTTTGATTTCGCACTCCACTATTTGGGTCAATTTCCATAATAGATCGAAACGATGTATAATTTGTTATTTAATTTTAGGGTTATGTGAGGTCGTTGGTTATGCCCATTTAAAACTTGATGCATTTTAAAAGTTATTTGGTGTCCATGTCTCTCAGGTTAACTTAAATACATGGGGTACACCAATATTTGGCAATCCAGATTTTGTTGGTCGCATTTAGTCTTCCTTTCTATAGAGGATTTGTCAAGGTTTAATTTTCCACACTAATAAAAAAAAATTGTTTATGGTTCTAGGTGACAACTCTTTAATTTGTAGAAAAATATCATTTTAGTCCTTATTATTAATTTAGAAAAATAAAAATAATAGAGGTTGACCCAATGTTGTGGATATTATTGTGTGTATATATATATATATGTCTATAGATGTGAAATTCATTGGTAGGTCCATCCTTTATTCTATTTATTCAAATACCTTTTTACTTTCTCTAGCCTAGCAAACATCACACGCGGTTGCTCTAGTTATATATTTTTAAATTTTATTTTATATCTAATTATATAAAAATTACAATCATATTATGTCAATGATGAGAATCACATGTTTTTCACGCCAGTTCAAATCTTCTCTTTTCGCCTTATTTCTATAGGATAGTTATTTAAATTAGAAAGCAAGTAAACAGCGCTAATTATAAGGTCTTCCCTCATCTAATTTTTCTTTTTATAATATCATGTGAAAATGTATTTTTCATCTACTGCCAATTCAAGAGTCAGTCTCTAATTTTGACGTTATGAACTGCACTACATTCATGAGATGAACTAAATACATTCATGTTTCCTTGTTCCACTAGGTATACGTTTTATATATTGATGGGTGTGTTACCATGCACTAAGTGCCAAATGGAGGTTTGAATTTGGTAGTTGAACGAAATAATTTGATTTAATATCAAAGAAAATTGAAGTAGAAAGAAAGGGTGAGATTGAGAGAGAGGGAATTAGTTGATTAGAAATTGGAGGATGTTAGGTTGTTTACTTGTCAAAAGGTTAGGCAGAAAGTAGAAAATAAAAAATTAATTTAGAGAAAGAAAAAAGAAAAAGGAAAAAATGGAGAGATGTTAGGAGAGGGCAGGGACCGTGGTGGAATTTAAATCCCAAGTCTCATTGACAAACAATTGTTTGATGATATTTTTCCATTTTGGCTCTTTGGGACATTCCTGATATT